TGGTGCAGATGAAATCTGTTCTTTCTTCCGGGAGGAAGACAAACATGGCACACGCTGTGCAGGTAACAACAGCAGACCCATCACCAACCATCGCTGCTGTCCTGGAAAAGGGATTTAAAAAGGAAGGCCAGAGAACCTCCCGCCCTTCCCAACTCCCTCTCAAAACTCCCTGTTAGCAATCACCTGTTCGCAAGCTCCTTGGTCGCTTGCCCACTGCCTTATAAAGCCCCTCCCCCTACCAAGGCTCAGCCAATCAGCAGAGGCTTCTAGAATTCAAACTTTAATTAGAAGCCAACAGTTTCCACCTGCCAATCACAGCACAAACTCCATCAAGGGGAGGGCAGAGGGAAGGTGGGGGGAAAAAAAACCAAAAACCTCACTCTCAAACACAGGGGAAAATAAATGAGCAAGTAGACCAACTCACAAACACAAGCTCAGCACACAGCAAGAAAGCCCCAAACACAACACCCACTTCCCTCAAGACTCCTGTATCTGCTTCTCCTCTACCTGGAGAACTCCCTCTCTAAAGCCTCACTCAAACAGGGAAAGAAAATAAATGAAATAAAAAAAAAACCACCACACACCACCACCACACCAAACAAACACAAGCTCAGCACACAGTAAGAAAGCCCCAACAACAAAACACACTTCCCTCAAGAGTCCTGTATCTGCTTCTCCTTCACCTGGAGAACTCCCTCTCAAAACTCCCTGTTAGCAATCACCTGTTCTAGTATTCTAATAGTCCTAGTATTCTATGATTCTATCCTTCACAGAATATGTTAAATAGGTAAGTTTGTAAGGACAGCCCTTGCTGAAAGCAGAAGATTGTGTAAATGTGAGGTACAAAGGGAAGTGGAAGATTCTTCATTTCTTGATGTCTTCAAATCAAAACTGGTTGTCTTTCTGGAAATTACACTTTAGCCAATCATAAGTTATGCATTACTCAAACACATATCACGTAACTGGATGAAGTTTTGTAGCCTGTGATACACAGATGGTCAGCGTCGATTTAGTGGTCCCTTCTGTCCTTAAACTCTATAAATTTGTTTGAAGAACTATAAGACTTGTTTGTGAAAGTTAAACACAATTATTCTCTGATGGAAAACAGTGCCATCTGGTGGAGTAATAGGTCAAATAGAAATAATTATAATTATAATAATTATACACCTGATAATTAAAAAGGAGCAGATAAAGAAGTTTTTTCTTTCAACAAATATGTTTCCCCGAATTCTGATAAGAATTCAACAAAGTAATACTAATATTTAAGAACACAGTAGTACATATAACCTGAAATTAATACAAGACTGTAAATTGAGAAATATAGCCTCTTCCACGCAGAAATAATCATTGGAAGTTGTGCATAAACTATCCCTTAACTTAGGTATATGCTTATATATTATCTAAAAATGTGTAATTGCATTATGATAATTTGCCATAAACTATTCATAAATATAAATATCCTAGTTACAACTCTATAGTCACCTCCCAAAATTCTGTCTTTAAAGCACTTTCAGCAGAATAGCTATTCTATAGGGATGTAAAAAATAAAAAAAATATTAACTATGTAACCGATAAATTTGGTTTTCAGACTGGTTTAGTAGAAAAGGGAGATATCATTGATTTGAAAGTAGAAAATAAGTTCAAAAACTGGGATAAAAACCCCTGGCTTTTTTATGGCCCACTCCTCTCCACCCTGACAAAAAAAAAAAGCGGGGGACGGAGGGAGGTCTTTTTTACAGAGCCAAAAGCAATGGTGGGCAATATTAGGTGGCTCATCACTAGGGTTGCCAGGTGTCCGGTTTTGAACCGGACAGTCCAGTATTTGAGTTTTCTGTTTGGGAAACAATATAAGATAATATGAGAAAATATGGTATTTTCTAAATAAGATGTAATGTAGTTTCTGATGTAATGTCAAGTGTGTCCAGTATTTTTGTTGAAACCATCTGGCAACTCTACTCATCAGGGTTATCTGCTGGAGGGCCCCAAGGCATTTTGCTGTTAACTGCCTGTAGGCACAGCCCTTGTAGCTCCCAGCGGCCTTAATTTTGCCATTAAAATTGGGACACAACCCATTTCAGGGTCCCAGTTCGCTGTGTGGGAACTGCTGCTGAAGATCAGTGGTTCTCAGCCAGTGTCACACATACCCCTGCGGATACACAAAGGTCTTCAACACATCTTTCAGTATTTCTCAACCTGGGAGATTGCAGCCCTCAGGGGTGGGAATCACAGGATGGGTTTTGGGGATAACAAGAGTACAGCCAGCACTAGGGGGTGACAAGCAGGGCAAACACTCGGGGCTTCACGGCTCAAGGGGCAAAGCTAAGTTTCATGCTTCAGCCCTGCTGCCTGGGGCTCACTTGGGCTTCAGATAATTTCACACATGAAGAACAGGCTCAAACCTCACAGTGGAACATACCTACAATATTTATCCTCCGACTGATTTATGTAGGACGACATGGTACAAACAAGAAAGCGAGCAATGTTTCCAGGAATCAGATACCAGGACTTTTTAACGCCTGACTTTTAATTTTTACACGAGGTGCCACGTACGGCTCCCACAAGACAAACCAGATTCCTGAAGAGGGCGCAGTAGCCTGGGAAGGCCGAGAATAGCCCATGGCCAGCTCTTGGGGTGGTCAACAAGCCCCCGGGCTAGGCCTGTGCGGCTCCAGTCCGCGAGCCCACCCGCCCGACAGACAAAGGCCGCCCATGGCC